ATTTGAGAGAAGCACTGTGAGAGTGAATTGTCTTGTCCTTGAACGCAAGACGTTCACCTCAGAAAAAGCTTCGAACCCAGACCTCTCGATCCAGTGTCCAATGCGCTAGCCATTAGGTAACCGCGTCTCTTCTCCCAAAGTTCATCAAAATACTTACAAAAGGAGACCGATAGCTGAGTATGGCTCCGATCGTCAGCACAGGGTCCAAACACCGGAAAATTGCACCAAGCAACATAAGCTTACCAATCCTATAACACAAAATTTAAATTATTGAAAATCGATAAACGTTTGCTGCTTGTTTCCAAAGGTGCAGAAAAATGCCTTGGTGGTATAAACTCACCGAACATCAACAGGCAGAGCTGCTAAGTGATAACCGAGAGAAGTGAGATTCTGAAAACAAAGAGTACACCTTTTCATGTTCACTTTTTTCAAATACTTTGAAATACAAACGGGAAGGCTAGACTGGGGACCTCACTTATTTTACAAACCCTGGGGGTGGTATACGCCATACTGACATGTCACCACGTACCTCGTCGGTATCTAGTGCTCCGATGTTATGCAGCCGTTTGATTGCGTCGTTGATCGATTCCTCGGAAGGTGGTTGTAGCAGTTTACCAAGAACATCCTGTGATGTGGGTCAAATATATTGTAACATTAAAGGTTAAATAAGGAAAGATGTCAGGCTATTGTCACGCGCGTGGGAAAAGTAAATACTCTGAGTTTCACGGGAGGGATCGTTAAAATTTCGCTGTGGGATGTCCACCACTAAGCCATAGTGAATTATTCACAGGGCTTCAAGCTTAACTCTTTTCGAAGTCATCGTTTGGCGACTTAAAAAAGAGTAGCCTGAAATAACATTTTGGCCACTAGAAAAAAAATACCTTGTGCAATATTACACAACAGACTTAACCGCTGACCACATCCCTTGTCTTGGGGTGAGCAAAGCAAAGCAAGAAAAATGAAGGCACACGCAAAGAAGACATCCAGAAATATATCTTTTGCTAGCTTGGTTTTCTCTCTAAACAATACAGGTCCCACAAACCTTAATCTCTCGCCCAAAGAACAGCGTCAATACTTTAATACGAAGACAAAGCTTCTCCAAAGGAACTCGCTGGATTTCTGAATTAGAAAAGAATATTTGGAAGGTTGTAAGGTGGTTTAAAACTGTTCACCGAAGTTTCGTTATTTAGCTTTACATTTATTGATTTGTTACCAGTACTGTAACGGACATGCCAAAGATCCCAAAATCCACGCTGAATCGTCATTGTTTAGAGTCAGCGACGACAAAAAGTTTCAACTTGATGCAGATGTTTTTGAACTAACAGTACAGCTATTCACAGATGCACTTTTAATTTGTGACCCAGGGAAAAATACCATTTCTTAGAGAAACTAGAGATAATTGTTTTGGATTATTTTCAAACGAAAAATTTTCATTTGGTTGTGGAAAGTAATCAGTATTGCATAGGTTTTGCCCTGCACCACTCTCTGATTTGTCTACAAAACTTCCGCCATCCTTCCTTTCAACCAATCAGATGAACTGGGCTACTCGCGCTTTTCTGCGCGTTAGCCAGTTTGCTTAATCCAAAATGCATTTTCATTGGCTCGGCTTGTCACGATTGCTATGTTCTGATTGGCTATTTTTCCTGCTCCACGTTTTGCGTTTGGTTTTGTGACACTCAATGGGTATACAATTAAAAATTTTAATACGATTGGCTGATTGCGTTGTATTATTCATAATCTTATTTTATTCATAATCTTATTTTACCCGGAATCTGATGGCCGTCCATTTTGTGTTGAAATCGCTGGCTGGTAAACAGGTGGAAACAAACCCCGGATGTAACTCGGCCCGCTCTTCCTCGTCTCTGGCGAGCATTCGCTTGAGAAACCCAGACCTCCTCCAGGCTCTCCATCCCCTTTACAGAGTCATACCTGCAAACAACAAGACATCGAATATCCACAAATTATTTCTGTGTAACAACAAAGTAAAGTAAAAAGTAGTGGCCCATTAGGCCGGTGCTTAAGTCCAGTTTCTGTAGCATGAAGCGACTAGGAGTATTCTACTCCCCCCTGAATGGGATGCCAGTCCATCGCAGGGTTACCCCCAGCATTAAATTGCTGGCACCCATTTATACACCTGGGTGAAGAGAGGCACTGTGAGAGTAAAGTGCCTTGCCTAAGAACACAACACAATGTCCCGGCCGGGGCTCGAACCC